CCGCAGTATAAACCAGGGTTCCTACAGTTTAAAACAAGTTAAATTTAAGACCAATTTCATAATAAACACAAATGACAAAAAATAAAAACTGCAGCAGAAAGTCATGACTCAAAGTATTTTTGGTTGAGGTATTCACATATTTAGCTAATAGACCAACTGTTTTATCCATATCTAAATGCTTTTTCCAGGGTTCCTGCAGGTTTCAGTACGTTAAATTTAAGACCTTTTAAGACCTTTTAAGACCATTAGTAATGACATTTAAGACCAAATCGACACATTAACAGAAACATTCAAATGGTCCCAGAAATTTTAACATAGAAACCTTTTATTGCTATAATTTAGTTATTAAAGAATATTTAATTTCAACACAAGAACTCTAAATTATTTGAATATTTGAATGAAACGGTCATATCTGACTGCTGTGAACCGCTGTCAACAGAGTGAAAAAAATCACTGATATCAGGTCAAATCTCATTGAAAACACACTTTCCCACGTTTAAACAACAAGCAGTGAACATGACTGAACTTCTGTTTGTTGAGCAGGTGAATAAGTCACCTGTATGTGGGGGGTTGTATGTGGGGGGCTGTAGCAGCAAAAAGGTCAAAAACATGAAGTAAACTGTGACAGTTTTACCTGCAGTTATCATGGGATTTATTGTTTAATCATGACCAGTAGCAAACTTAGCTCTTCATGAAGTCAGATCGTGTCAACCTCTGATTACGACTCTTAACTATTTATTTATTTATGCAGCCAACGGTTCTCAAAAATAATCAAAAGTAGAAAAAATTAAGATTTGACAAAATAAAATTTAAGACCTTGGGTGAAAATCTGAGTGTTTTTAAGACTTTTTTAGGCCTAAAATTTTGATTTTCAAATTTTAGACTTTTTTAGACTTTTAAAACTCGGCATGAACCCTGGTTTTCGTCAAATATAGCAAAAACATTCTTAGCAGTCATTTTAACGACCCAAAACTTGGAGTTTTAGGACCCACAGTGGGGTCTTAATCCTAATTTGCTGTAGATGAAACCTTGAAGTGCCAGTGACATCAAAATTTCTAAAAAATATGAATGTATTTTTGGAAAGACAACATTTTTAACATATTACAAAACAAATTTCACGTTGCTCAGATGAACAGTTGTTGAGATATTTGCATGTGGAGTAACAGGAAGTGATGTCAAAGAGGGATGTCTGCATGTGAATATTAAAAAAAATGTTACCAATTATTTTAATGTTTGAGATGAATTACAGTCGTCTTACAATGTGTTAACATTTTTAAGATGTCTGAAAGATTGATTTAAGACCTTTTAAGGCTGATTAAAGCCTTAGTTTGGATTGATGAATTCAGTGATGTTTAGGACTTTTTAAAGCTCTGCAGGAACCCACCAAGCAGCTGTCCAGGTTTTTGTTTTTGGTCTGACAGGGTGTGAAAACTCATGTTTACCTGCTCCGCGTTGTCCCACTGTTCAGGCAGCCCGAGGCACGGTGTGGGGCGTGTGGACAGCAGGCAGTGGAAGGAAAACCCAAACACTTGATAGACGCTCCGCACGAAGTCCAAACAAGCCACGATCTCCTCTTCCAGCTGGAAAAACAAGGAGAGTCAGGACTGCAGCGACCAGACGAACCGTATCGATTATCGTGTGACCTTTGTGAAATACTGGGAAACAAACAGAAGACTCTGAGAATAAATCCCACAGCAGGTTTCAGTACTTGATGAATACGATGAGAACTGTTAAAGCTGCAGCACCGACACATATATGGAGGTATTATGTTTGAACTGGACAAAGACCTTCATTCATCCAGGCTGAGGCCTCATGGAATGTCTCAGGAGTTATTTGTGCAGCCGATCTAATCTCAGTCTAGTTATCAGTCAGGAAATATAATCTCTGCTTTTTTTTTAATGCGTGTTTTACCTGCTCAGGAGTGCAAAAGATGTGAGCATCATCTTGACAGAACTTGCGGACCCGAGTCAGACCTCCCAGAGCTCCAGAGAGCTCGTTACGATGCAGCGCCCCGAAGTCGGCCCACCGCACAGGAAGCTCCCGCCACGAGCGAACTCGATGCTCAAACATGAGACTAAAACACAAGAAACCCCAGTCAGGTCCTGGAAAACCAGTGGTGGGCAGCACTAATCGAAATATTAGTGGCACTAACCCTAAAGCACTAATTCAAATATTTAGGTCCCCTAATTTTAAAGCACTAATGCACTGAAAAATTTAGCAAAACTAATAAAGCACTAACTCAAATATTTAGGTCCCCTAATTTTAAAGCACTAAT